TCTACGTGCGGTTTGGGTTAAATTACAAGGCCTTTGAAGGCTGGAAACAACTCTTTGTGCCGAGCAGAAGAAAAGAGAGAGCATAAATAAAAGAGTGCGAACAGAAATTGAGGGCGCACACACGGGGAGGTATAATGAGTCCAACAGAAGATGGGAGAAATACAAACAAGCAGGAAGCATAAAAAGCCAGATTGAAAATCAAAAGGGGGGAAACACAGAGGGCCTGACCGGGTCAGTGCCACAGGCAGCAGAGATGATCAGAGATGGCCGGCCGACAGACGCTCTCCGCTGGCCTCAGTCCGTTTGAATTTGCCCTCAGAAGAGTGACGCCGAACGCTTTTTATACTGTCAATAAAACACACGCTCGAAGTCAAATAAAGACCCTCAAACCCTAAAAACAGACACAGACGGCTCTGCTTCGTATCTGGTTTGAGTTTCGGGACATATGAATGATTAACTAAAAGGCAAGCTCGCCTCAGAGCAATTAATACTGCAGTATGAATGGGAATTTGGTGTATGTGGTCTTTCAAGATGGTTCTTTTGTTTATTTTAGCTCATTCACTAAAGTCTACATGAGGTTCCTGTTTCTAAAAATATTCTGAATCCGTCTGCAGCTTAGCTAACAAGGCTGAGGTAGAAAATCTTGCAACTTACATGGAAGAAAACTACAGACTTTGAAGATGATTTTGATTGACTCTGAGCAAAAGCATTCTCATTCTCTGATGAGACTTTGAGATGCTAAAAACCGCCCGTTGTCTGCTACGATCGTTGTAAGATAAAAGTTTTCCTTCTACTATTTCTGCTGTGCGGGACACAAAACTCTGCTTTATTCCCACATCTCCTGAAATAACTCAAAAGCAATAAGACTTTATGAGACTTTTCACAGTTTTGCCTCGTGGTCATCCATAAAAGAGCAAAATGACAATAAATAACGGGGACATTTTTTGGGGGGGAAATATAAGGCACGGTTTTCTTGTTTCCATATAATACCCGCATGTCAGGCAGGTGAAACGTCTGACATCTGCATTTATTGCTGATGTTTTATCTTCCTCCAAATGGGAACTGTGACTCGGCATATTTCAGATATTTGCGCGTCATTAAGGCAAACCGGTGACCGGACTGTGAAAAAGCCAAACGTCAAAAAGCTCTCTTCCGTCTGCATGTATCCAGCCTGCCAGATGTGTGGGCGAGCACACACAGCGCCACCCTCCGCAGCTGGAGCAGAGGCCGGGCGAAACCAAGCTGGACGGGAGGGGGGAAAAAACGGCCAGCGCCTGTTGCTTCGTGTCCGGCCAAGAAAAAAAAAATCTCAATCTGGACCCTGGGCCCTGTGATCAGCTCCCTCTCTGGCCGTCGGCTATAAATACGCGCGGCCCTCCTCTTATAGCTCCCAACCGCCCGGCCACTCAAACACCAAACTATGATTAAAGGCCTATTTTAGGGAGAGCTTTGAAGCGGCGGCGGACGAAAAAGCGAGGAGGAGGGGAGCAGTGGAAACATTCGGATAGAAGTGCAAACACAGCATCTGAGCAGGTACTCGCTCTGTGGGGGAACACAACCCTTCCCGTGTGGATGCGCGGCCTCCTCGTCTGCCGGGGTTCACAGGAAAGTCAGGTGCGCGACAGAATGAGAGCAGGGAACGGGAACATGAAGGGGGGAACATGGGCCCGTCTTTACCGGCAGGCTGGTTTACAGGCAGTCAGCATTTACCGGCACTAGGGATTGTTACTCGCTGAATATTTTCGAACAAAAACAGGCATAGAGAAGATCAATGAAGGAGAAGTGGAATAATAGAACCGTTCTTTAGCAGGGTGAATATGGAAGATGAAGGCTCAGTGGGGGGGGGGGGTCGTCAGGAGCTGTTTGACAGAGGCTTTTCCTCCCCAACGCCGCCGCTCAGATTGTGTGAGTCAAGGTTTACATGCTGAGAGCGACCCAGATGACTGCAAACAGCTATGGCTGGGGGTCAGTTTTACAGTTTTTAGAGCCGATCGTTCCGGTTTTTCCACTTCCTGCTGCGCAAACCTGAGCGTGGTGTGGAAATACCAAAAGCCAAAAAACCAATAACGACCTGGCCCGCCGATAAAGGTCCCAGTCACACTTTGGACCCTATAAGGAAGTGAGAGCGGATATCTTTGGTCAGTCGCTTCGGCTAAACAGGCTGGTCAGAGCTCCCACCACCTTAGTGGTGGAGATCATAATAATGTGATCATCCAGTGAGAAAACGCCACTTCATCCCTGAAGGAGTCAGTCATGCTTCAGAAATACAATCTAAACGTCTTGCTTTTTAAGTAGCATTTGACGTTTACAGTAATTCTGTCATCTTGTGTTATTCGAGAATGTCTCAAAGCACATGATGGACAAGAGAGAGTTGGCAAAGGACAGCGATAGAGAAATAATTACAGTAGTTCAACTGGGAGACGGCGGCTACAAGCGGGCGCTTTAGATAAAAGGTGCCTCGGGGTGACATTTTCATTTTAATCCACATGCCCACCTGCCCACACGTCCGCTCTGGCAAAGTCAGAGTGACAACGGGGAGCACTCCGGGTCCCGACATCTGCTCCCAGCTGTTAATCTTCGCTGACCAATCGGCACTGGGTCAGGGGGATGAGCGACACTCGTAGCAGATAAAAGCCATGATGAATCTCCTCCTTCCATTTCCTCCTCTTTCTCCCCCCAATATATCCTCTAAGTCACGCACAGCCTCTCTGCCTCGCTCTCAACCACTCATTACTGTAATTGGAGGGTTTGAGGAGATAGGGCAGAGAGGCAGAGAAAAGGGGGGAGGGGGTAGAAAAGGTTGGGAGAAGGAGAAAGGTTTCTGGAGGTCAGACGCCCAGCCCTTTCCTTTCCTTTTTCTTCCTCCGTTTCTTCCTTTTTCCTAAACAAAGAGGCTCGAGTTTGCCTTGGCTTTCCTTTAAAGATGGAGGCATGGTTTGCTGCGTGGACGCTGGCTGGATTTCACTTCACTTCTCCGAGGACTCCTTTTTCTCCTCCTCGCTTCAGCCCCGTCTTTTCTTTCATTCTCCTTTTTTTTACGTCTCTTCCCCCGCTTTGCTTAACCACACCGGCTGGGTTTTGTTGTACTGTATGTAGTCTTGGCTTACTGGCCCCTGTCATTGCGCCGGGCGGAGAGGTCAACGTGTGGCTGCGCAGGCGTGTGAGCGTGCGCACGTGAGCGTGCACGCGCGTGAGCGAGAGTAAATTAAACCCACAAGAGAAAGCTCCAGGCAAAGATTACAAGATGGTACCAAGGTGATAATGTCAAAGAAGAGTGGGCCAAGGCTTTGGTATTTGTGACTTTGGTGTCTATTTGGAGAAAAACAGAGTGAAAAAAATGGAGGATAAGAAATGAAACACAACAAGGAAGAGAGAAAAGCAGAAGAGAGTCAGTCTCTCCTGTGTGTGTTGTAAACCCCTTTTTGTGCAGTCTGCGGGCAGGTGAAATTCCACATTTTCCAATCAACTTTCCACGCTTTGACGCCTAATTTGGGACTCAGCTCAGCTTTTCCTTTGGGAAACTCTTCAAAAATGTTGAATCGTCACTTTCAGTTCTGCTGCTTTTGGACTAAATTCCGCCGTTTTAGTGTAACTTCTCTGGATTTTTATGCAAGACAAACATGGAGCAGAGCACAGAGGCCAACTCTGAACCATACAAGAGGTCAACGCTGCATGTATCATCTTGGCAACGTTGTTTTCTAAGAATCTCAAACCTAATCGCGAGTGAGGAGGCAGAGATTTATCCGGAGCTCTGTCTGCGTTGCCAGTTTGAGGCCCGTTTAGTGCCAGATGTGGTTCTGCTGTCACACTTTCACCGCACACGCAGTCCTGCTGCTCTGAATACCTGAGATGAGAATCAATCCGCTGTTTGATATTCGCGCCAAGAAAGGCCCCATTAACTCTAATTTAGAAAAATAAAAGGTTTCGCTGAAAACTACTGTGTGTAGCTTATTTAGGGAGTTGTGAAAACGACCCATTCATGAGCTGCTATTACGGTTCCGGTGCCCCAGGAGCCCGCGCGACTAAAACTGAATGCTGGAGAATCAGTAGCTGCGGCTATATCTGGTTGTTTTTCCGGGGGTGAAAATAGAAGAATAGCCCTGTTTGAAGAAAAGAAAAGATTCTGGAAAAAAAGAGCGAACACAGATATGAAAAATGAACCACATGAAAGGGAAGCGAAATAAGGATAGACGCCTTTTGTCAGTGATCAGAGTGAGGAAAGTATGTAAGGAGAATGAACGGTGCGTATAAACGCACAGCGCTCATTAGCCGCTCGGCGAGGGCCGCGCACGTTTGGTGCACGTGTGGCGTTTCATTAGAGGCTAAGGGCAATTTCCTCAGCCTGAAGTCGAGAGGAAGAAAAAAAAACAAGAAGCATAAGAGGTGCGTGGTGAGGGAAAGAGAGAGAAACAGAGGAGAGGATGTTTGTGCTTCTTCTTCTGCAACCTCATGTAAGCCTAATGTAATTGCAGGGTGGGGGCAGGGGTTGGAAGTGGTGGGTGGGGGTAAATATTATCTTTTCAACCATCTCTGCCCCGGCATAACCCGCCCAGTTCACATGCACACACACACACACACACGTGCACACGGCTCCATATACTTCCCAGAACTCCAAATTCATCACACACGCATACACACATACTCACACACACAGACAGAGTAGCATAAAGAAAGGAGGATTAGATAGGCAGATTCACAGCGACACACACACACACACACACACACACATGCACACACACACATGCACAGACACACACACACACACACACACACACACACACACTCACAAGCACACACCACAGATAGGTAGGAACACACCTCCTCCCAGGGCCCACATTCTAACTCACTTGTTTTTCTTTTTCATCATCTGTTTTCCTGCGTCAGTTTTTGCTACGTGCACCCAGCAGTCGGCCGGCGCGCCCACGTGCACGCTCGCCCACGTGCACGGTGCGGAGGGGAAACACGGGGTGAGTGGCCCTCAGTGCACGGTGTGAGCGTGTCGGGCCACTGTCTTGTCCTTTTAAGGCCGTTCTCTCCCAGCCTCCGTCTCCTCATCTTTCTATCTTTCCATTATAAATCTCCTCTCTCTTTTCATTGTTCTTATCCCCTTCCTCCCTCTTTCTGCGGAATATGTCTGGTCCTCATCACTGCTGTGAGAAGCCATCCATATAAGTCAGCTAACCCAGCGCTGAGCCCGAAAATCTCTCTTCTTTTTTAACCAGTGGTGGAAATCTACCAGTTGTGTGTGTGTGTGTGTGTGTGTGTGCGTGGGGTAATCCCAGTTGTTTCCAATGTAGATCAGCACGGGCTAAGAATCTTTCTGAGCTCATGTGCACTCAAATCAAGGTTGATAAGAGTATAATGAGAAGGCTTTTGGTTCCTTTAACATGCAAAGCTGCAGTAGAAACAAGGGGTTAGATTGTATTTAGTCGCCATGTTTGTGCGTCTTTGTTTTCTGCCGCTTCCACGCACAGAACAGCACCATGTGTGTCCCCGTTTCCCCCCCTTGTCTGGTGTGTGTTCAGCGCCAGTGTGTGCTGGCCAAAAAAGCAGCCCAGATCTGGGCACCTCTCTGGAGTATTTCGCTGCAAACTATCGGCAGCCTGTTGATTTTTCCTCTTTTTCCAGCGGCCCTGAAGGGCGCGCAGTGACGGGGAACGGGCGATAGCGACATGAGAGAGCTTTGGAATTGTCCCCTAGCCCTTCTGAAACTGCCGCTAAGAGCGAACGGCTGAAATCGGAGCCCTTTGTGAAACCGGCATGAGAGCGTTTCAGGTTCATATGAAGAGCAGCACACAAAGCTGAAGAAGGAAGGGATGGATAGAAGCTTTGGGTATATATATATATATATATATGTATATATATGGCATGAAAGGTGGGATAGGAGCAACACAGGTGAGAAAATATGGCTTTTTCCTCATACATTTTCATTTTCTTTAAAGTGTCTCCCTATAATCCCCGAGAGGGAGACTGCAGCAATTCCCTGTCGAGGGATTAAAGAAAAAAAGAGCTTTTCTCAGGTTGTAACAACTGGCATTGTTCGCAGAAGAAAGCCGAGTCTGGCTGCAGAGGTAGGCCAAGATAAAGATTGTGAATACGGTTGAGTGAGAGGATTAGACTGATGTATTGTTTTATTGAAGTGGGTCGCTCTGACAAAGGCCCGAAACCATCCACCTCCGATAGAAAGGGAAAATCCTGCCTGATTGTTGTAACGGAATACAGTTTTACGATTACCGGTTTTGAACCAGATGTCTGATCGGATACATTACCCCAAGGACAAAAGGACCCCGTCAGTCTAATAAATCTGCATTATCCCCTGCCACTGTTTTCCTGACAAAATGACTTCATTCCAGTCGAGCCGCTGCTGTCAGTGGATGCCGTAGCGGGGCCAAGCGAATCCACACATCTTTTTCCCCGAGATATTCAACTTTGATGATGTTCGACTTGAAAATTCACAAAGCTCACTGTTGCACAGTTCTGACCTTTAGAAAAACTCTATAGCCCTAAACGGAGAAACCCCTGGAGGCTATTATGGATACAAATAAGTGTTTTGAATCAGCTTATTTTATTTACTGCCATGATGGCAGAACATTTGGAGAGCCAGTGAGGTATCGCTTATGTGTTTGCATCATTTTGGATCAAGGACTGCATTGAAAACCCCATTTAAGAGAAAAAGTCCAAAGAGAATTACCTAAAAACTTCTTTCTTTGCACATGCAACCCATGAAAGAGATGTTTGCGGCTCTGTGAGCTGAGATACCAACTCACCTTGGTATCGAACGGTTTTGCGCGGGATCGGGTTCCAGTTGAGACCCAGCGACGTCTCCCATCCCACCAGCAGCACCGTGAGCAAGACCTTCATCCCGCCGACGGCCCCCATGTCAGCTCCGACCCGCCGGAACCGCCACAGAGCGATGGATGGAGGGACCGGTCAGTGGAGTCTGGGAGAATTGCGAGAGCTAGCCCCGCTTCTGGCAGCCTGCTGAGTTAGGAAGAGAGAGAGAAACAACACATCAGCTGGAGCCTACAATTCACTCCCCCTTATTGGCTATCGTCCGTCTATCAGAAACAATTCCGTCAGAGCAGAATCCACAACACACACATTTTAGTTTCAAACGTGCCGCAGAAAAACTGAACATTAGGTCATAAAAACCCATTAAATTAGAGGTAGGCGCCTACACCCACCTATCGGCGGCGTGCCCTATGTGTGTGTGCGCTCGTCTGCCAACAAAAGCAACGAAAATATTTTAATGACTTCTGGCCTGGGAGGTCATGCGGGACAGCTCTCCCCCGCCACTCCCTCTCTTGAGGTGATAATTCAGCTATCGCTACTCGGAAAGCTCCGAAACAGCTTATTGCCGCAGCCTTGTCAGGCCCATTCAGCAGCAGTATATTAAGCCGGTGCTGAGTTATCACAGTTAATTGGCACTGGCAAACACATCAAACGGCGGCATGTTGGGGAGGGGAATGTCGACGCAAGGACAATCCAATAGCAGCATGCTGTAAGCGAACCGGACACACACACCGGACTGAGATGTAGCATAAGAGTCCAGTCACAGGACTGACCGGTTCCTGAGTAACAGAGAGCTCAGAGCAAGGGGGGGTGGAACTCCGGTCTTTTTTGGGCCTGTGAAAACTTTCTGAAAACTTTCCTCCCAGGTATGGTCAATTTGGAAGCCGAGCACGGTTTCAAATCAACGATATTACAAGCAAAAAAAAAATCCCGGTGCAATCAACTTTATCGTTGATTTGTTGCTTCCACTCCACTTTTGGAGGCAAAAATAAATAATACTTGAAATCGTTTCTAACTGCAGGCGTTAGTGGATTTTGTGAGCACAGCAGTAAGAATGACACTGTACCTCCACAAACTGGGGGTGGAATTAAATGTCAGTAGTTAAAGGGTCATCTTGTCATGGAAATACTTTTCACTTACTTTGCGATATGTGTATTTTTTAAAAGGACTTTTGCGACTCACCAAGAAAAAGGATCGTTGCTTTTTAAAGCTGAGCTTGTAAGATTGGTTATTTTGAAAGGTTATAAAAATGTCTCGAGCTGCCAATAGCACCCCTAGAAGTTGGGTTGAAAGCCTAATGGGAGCTTACAAAAGTCCTTTGTCCACAGAAGCCATTCAGGACTATTCTGCGAGCGGAGGGCTCCTCATTGTGAGCCGTGTGATTATATGGCCCACTCAGTTTTAAATGTCATTCTCTCTTAAGTGCCTGATTGATCAACATTAAAGTTGCTTCACTATTCTTCCATTCGAACGTCGCAGTCCACGGCAGATACGGCACAACATACGTGCAAAAATGAGACCAGTGGAACGTCTCACATTCAAAATATTGAGAGGATCTGCAGACACCCGGATGTGGAAGGGACACAGCTGAAAACCACTGGATGGTTTTCCTGCCCCGAGGCTGCACTACAGGCATGATTCCGTAATGGAAAATCACATCACGGGCCAAAAAAACACTTCCAGAAAATATGGTCTGCAAACACGGGGATGCACAGTGGCGTCCTCAGATCAAAGAGCTGTCACGCCAACAAGACGCCATATGTGAACATGATTAGGAAACTCCAGCGTCCTCTCTGGGGAAAGCTCATTTAAAATGGACTGAAGCAAGCAGGGGGAAATATTCCGCTGTCAAATTAAATCTAATTTCTGTTCATTAGGAAGCCATGGACAGCATATCCTCTTGTTTAAGCCCACATCTCTGATTGGCGCCTGAAGAACCATGTTGGTAAGAAACATGGCTCAGATTCCTAAAGGTTTCCACAGGTTCTAGGTCTGTTTTCAGGGGAATGCTTAGATATTTCAGCAAGACGCAGCACCTATCACAACAGCCGGCAGCTGAAAACACACAAAAAACAACAAAAAATCCCCACAAAACATAAAACAACAATGAGACAACAATCTTCCTCACTTCTTCATCGATTCTTAGAGACTGCAGGTCAAAGAAAAAGCTGAACACGAACCTGTCCCTACTTTTGAGACACATCCCAATGGCTCTTAAATACCACTGGAGTGATTACCGTGCTTTATTGGAAAAGGAGATTTTACTATGATTTTATTTGTTTTTTATCTGGGTATTAAACAGCATGGAGCTGTAACACTGAATGAAAAAAGCAAGGATCCCTCTGAGTGTTCCACTATAACTTAGATATCCCAATAATAATGAAAAAATACAGTGACCCGAACCCCCCCCCCCCCCACCCCCCCCCCCCAGCTGCTGCTGTGTATCAGCGGGTGAAATGATGCCTTTGATACATGCTCATTGGGGAAGAGATCCCATTAAGTTTTTAGCAGGCACAAAAATGTCAACCTTTAACCGAGCACAGAATGCTGAAACCTCCTCGATATAAGGGGCGAAGCACACCTCGCTCACATATCTGCAAAGAAATTCCAGCGCGGGGTCTGAAAAAAAGCACCTTTTGTCTGTTCAGCGGACGGGCAGAGAAGGTAATTGAGATCCAGAGACGTTCCGGTGTGTGTCGGCCCATGCCTGTGTGCCTTTGTCCAGCCTGTGCGAATGCTATTGATCACATTTTTGAGGAGAAAATAGGAGAAGGGAAAGAAAAAAAAAAAAAAACCCTATAACTCCAGATCGGTTCATGGCGACGCGCTGTTAAATGAGCGTGCCTAAAAGCCGGGTTTGCTCTAAAGCTCCGTAAGCCTTGCAGTGGCAGCCACTAGCTTAGCTGGATCCACAGCGCGGGCCTTAGCGGGTCCACGCTCCAGCGAGCGGAGAAGAGATGGATGAAAGGTGTAAAAAAGAAAAACAACCCCCCATCACATCTTGGGGAGCCAGCATGGAAACCCATCAGGGGAGATGAGGAGTTGAGAGGATGAGGTGGGAAAGCCTGACATCTGTTTTTGTGACAGACATCAAACAGGAAACTGGAAAAGCTATGAAGCATCATCACCCATCGTGCACGCTCGCCTTCAAATCTTGACAGGATGAACTGCAACGTTCAGGGATAATTGGTCCATTTTTTGGACTCAATGATGGACACAAGTTCAGGATCTCTTCTGATCCCATTCCCTCCCATATTCAGATATAACATTTAGTAATGATTGCAATGAAAGCTGGACCTTTAGAGACTTAAAAGCTGACATTTAAGGGACTTTTTATGATTTATTTTCCTCCGCTCTTGATCTTTTCCTGTTGCAGAAAACAATTCTCATCCTTAGGCCGACGGAAAGACGCCGGTGATTAAAAAAAGCAATAAAGGGAAGAAAATATTTCATTTTTGTCTTCCAAAACTGTGTCTGGGGCAGAAATAGAAAATGTAGAGCAAATTTAAAAAAAGTCCAGATCTAAATTGCAATGACTCTGAAGGGTCAGGGCCCAGCTTTGTTCAATTAGACACCCCACTTTGCACACACACACGTATACTTACACACATGATCAATTTCAGTATCTATCATTACTTAGAACCTGTTACAGCTAATAGTGAATACCAACAGAGAACCACCATCCAAAGACATATCCTCCTTCTTCAGATGTGTTAATTGTTGAATGAGACTCTCTGCGGCCTTCAATTTCAAAGCAAAAGTTGCGAAACTGGAATAAAAGAGGAAAGTCAAAGCCTCTTCCATGCGTTAATATTAACAGAGCGTGCCGATCGTCAGACTCAGCTCCTTTTTTAAGTTTCTGTTTGTTGAAAACGCAGCATTTAAACTTTAATGTCTCCTCCTCTCTTGTGAGCAGCTCGCCCGGTCTGATCATAAAAAGTCTGGGGCTGCATGGGTAGACTCCGCACCTCGCTCGGATTTGCAGGATTTTAGCTGATGCAATCGCCCTGAGAGGGCATCTGCCGTTGCCTATCAGCAAAACACAAATTAGTGACTTACAGTTGTATTTTTTTCACCGCTGCCTTACGTCGCTTCATTTGACACGACTCTGTCGCTTCAAATTTCCCTCTGAATCTTCAAGGCGCATCTGCAGGGAACTTTACGAGCCACCGGGGAGACAGCTGGTGTCGGCTTATGATGAATCTTTCTTTTTTCTCGCCATCAAACCCGACTCTTATGATCCCTGGCTGTGTCATAAGGATTCAGCGGGATTCAGTCTGGCTTTTTCCCCCTGATGACCAAATTAAGTCGGCTGCTCCGTCTGTCACCGCGGCGCCTTTAAGGTCCTACGGTGTCGCATAACTCTGCAGGCGGCGTGGAATCTTTCAGGCCGCCGGTGTTTTTTCGGCGTGCCTGGTTCGGCTAATGAGCTGAGACACAACAGCCTAATAGTTTCATTAATGCACTCCACAATGAAGGCCTCATTAAAGCGCGCGGAGAAATGGGCCGCGCGTTCTGATTAGGCCGCCTGCTCTCGCGCGCGTCGCTCGGTTTTCGTGTTGCCAAGCGCTTGGCGTGTGTGTTTACAGTGTGCGTTTTTGAGGAAAATCTGAGGAAGAGATAAGTCCCCCGAGGGGGAGAGAGGACGAATAATGATTGTCTCTTAAGTGAGCGCAATGTCAGGCAGGGAAAAAAAAGATGAAGGACATTTTTATCCGCAATTTTGTCGGTCTTTGCTGTTTTTCTTCACGCCCTCCATTCTTATACACCACACACACACACACACACATAGTCAGTGACCTTTGGTGCTTTTAGTTCTTCCAAGCATTGTTTGACTTTAAACCTCAACCTATGGCCTTTTTCTGAGAGCCTGGGCGTATTGTCATCCGCCCTCCACTCTGACTAGCACACACTTAATGTCCATTAACCCCTGGCTACCCACACACACACACACACAGACACACACACATCCCAACAGGATGGATATGGACTTCCCCCACTCCTAACGGAGGCTACCGTGGGCTCCCTTCCTTCCTAGCTTCCTTCCTCCCTTCCTACCCCCCTTCTTCTCCATCCGTTTCTGCGCCAGGAGCGTTTAAAAACACACACACACCGAATGAGAACCCGGTTCTCACACAAAGGCCGCTTCAGCTAAATGTAATAAGCTGGATCAAAAGATTTCACACCTTGTGGGCAAAAAAGT